AACCATAATGTCAACAAATAATTCTAATCGATCGTTTAGTGTCCGACTGATCGGCATTGAAGTCATGCGTTACATTTTCCTAACCATTTGTAATTAATAATATTTATATATTTGGGTATATTTATGATAACCATATAGGTAAATGCGTCCTTCTAAACATTGAAACTACTGAACGGCTATGGCTGCGGCTGTGCGCTGTCCATTGGCTGCGCTTTCAAGTGGAAAGATGAATTCATGACGATTATATGCAAACGATTCATCTTTACCAGCGGCGTTTACGGTTTGTTTCAGGTTTTTTTTTTTTTTGGCGTCATCAAGATTCGTGTGTGTGTTTCAACACATGTGTCAGGCGTGTTTTAATTCTTTACCTATTTTTCGTGTGCAACAGTAGTTAGAAATGTGGCACGTTTTTTGCGGTGACATAATTGCGCGCTTGACTGTGACATTTTTACTTTTAACTATTTTGTGTTTTTTTTTTAATTTTTTTTTTGAATTTTCATTTAGTTATTTGACGCTGTTAGAAAAACATGTTTGTGTGTCTGTAAAAATAATCGAACTTTTTACTGCAATTTTTGTATATACGTTTATGTACTCTTTTCAATTGAAAATACATACAAGTATGCATGAATATGTGTATTTTTGCTCCCATCAATAAAAGCGCATGATTTTTACATGGTTGAGCAGTTTTGCCGTCGCTTTTATTTTATCGGAGTTTTTTTCTTTTTTTTTTTTTGAAGATTTATCTTTGTTTTCGGCCACTTTTTTGCTGCCTCAAATGTACTTGCAATTTTTGTATGTTTGTCAATATGTATTATATGTAAATAAATACATCACCAGCAGTCAGACATTGAAATTGCTTTGTTTTCAATGAATTGTAAAAAGTAAAGCAACAGCAAACGACAATATGAGCAGCGGCAGCGTGAGATTCGCAATTGTCATTGTCATCGTCGCTGCCGCCAACACGAATTGACGATTTGGCAATCGCAAAATAATTAACCTTGACGGTGAACGTTAACAAAGCCACTTAAACATAGAGTGCAAGTACATCTTTCAAGTATATACAAATATATACTATATGTGCATGTATACTAATGTAAAGCGAGTTACTATTATATTATGAGTTACTAGTATATGTATACATATACATACGCATATGCGTTTGTATGTCAACACAGTAGTTCCTATATATAGAGCTCTATTTAAAATCTATGACGTGACTTGTTGACGCTGTCAGGTGGGAGTGGTTGTGGGCGTAGGAGCAGTTTTTGACGTCGTACGTTTTTTATTTTAGTGTTAGTACTTAACTAAATATTTACTTTTCCTACAAAGATTTTTAAGGGTTTCTAATGTAAAGTTAAATAAAAAAAATTAAAAACTCTATTTATTTTCATAATATATTAATTTTCAAGGTAGAATTACTACAAAGTTTGGAATTCGTCCAAGATTATATCGCATATTCAAGTTCTCCAAAAAACTCACATACTCATGTTCATTGGAAAATCATCTTCTCAGATGAGTCCCAATTCTGCACTAACGGTTTCGTCAACAAACAAATGAAGTCTCAATTGACGAGTCAAATCCTCGCGTGGTTCAGGAAATGAAATTTCATCCGATATTGGATCACTATTTTTTTTATTAATACAGAACTTAATACAAAAAATAAATTTTAAAACTTAAAATGCTCAGTAAGCTATATGAATTCTTAAAAGGAGCTAAGATGCATTCTCCGTCTTGAAAATTGACAAAAACGCATTTTTGTAAACATATTCAAGTCATATTTGAAGTAAAAAAAAAATTTGGTGAAAGAGCATTCGAACCATGTTTAATTTGTGAATATTTTGCTTGAAAACTTTTTAAATTTAAGCTATTTACCTTCCATTGAGTCTGTAAAAACTTCCGATATAAACAACGGTTTTCTTGCTAGCGTTTATGAGAAAATCATAAAAGTATATAGATGCTTGCAACGCAACCTACGGTCTATAATGGCTTCTCCAATATCACGGCGAATCGCATGGACTTAAATTCCAGCATCCTACTGGTTGCTACTAAGTCGATGTGATTCCTTTATGGATATGTAGATAGAAGTTCCTTGATAAGGACTGCAGTCTAAAATCTTTTAAAATTATCACGTATGTATGTGCGATTTGGTAGAATTGGAATTGGATTAGAATTTGGTAGATTTTGTTTTTTACTTAGTTATTAATTTAAATACTATTCATTTAAAAAAATTTGTAAGGAAAACAAAAGTTTATAATTAAAAAA